TGGCATAAAATGGTCTTTAAAATGACAATAATATCGCTTATCGCAATTATTTCTGGGGCAATATATCGCACAACAAAAAGTTGTTATCGTGACAGGCCTAACTCTGCGTGCTGTGCGCACATGAGACAGTTACTTAAAACTGTGCTTTATGCTGGACAGTATTTATCTATCACGAGTTGTTCAAATCCCGGTAATCTAATACAGTTTTAATGATAATTAAGTAGGGATGTAACGATTCACTCAACTCACGATTCGATGTACAACTAAGGCTTTGTCTGTGCTCTTTTCATTTAAAATTAGAGGCAACCCACCACTGCATTTTAATCATGATCCAAACAAAGGTGCTGAGACGCAGATTCACTCTCTGCCAGCAGGTGGCGCTTAAACCGTTTCCTTGGTTTCCGCTGTAAACAAAGGAGCCTGCACTTATGAACTTTAATATGCATTATACAGAGGCAAGATGAATAGAAAAAATACCATCTAAACTTTTCTAAAGACAGTAAGTTCCCCTCAGACATGCATTCATATCAACACACCTAAATGAATCGCGATTTGTTTAGCATCTCAACCGATTTGAATCGTCACATATTTTAATCGATTTTCAACCGGTTCGCGGTTAATCTTTACATCCCATGAGACGGTAATACTAACCGTGGGGAATTTTATCATGATTTATCATCAAACCGGTAATCGTTACATCCCTAACTGTCACTTTTGATTACTTGAATGCATTCTTGCCAAATATTTAATAAAAAAAAAACCTAGCCCCCAACTTATGAATGGTAGTGTAACTGGTTGATGTTTTCCATGTAACTAAAATAACTGGTTGATGTTTTCCATGTAACTAAAATAAAAGGGGAGTGGAAACTGGAGCTTTCAAGAGGACACAAAATCAAGATCATATTTTTGAGTCATGAGCTAAACTTGAGAACTCAATCAATCATTCAGACCAAATAATTGGGGAAAAAATCATTCATAAATCAAATTGCTAAGTAGAGCAATGATAGAGGTCAACAATTTCAGTGAACAACTTTTTTTGTTATTCTGGAATTTGACAGCCCCAGTTCACTTTTATTATATTAGGTTAAGTTCTCCATGGAAGAAAGACGGTCATACGGATCTGGACTAACATAAGGATGAGTAGGATGTTCATTTTTGGGTGAACTACTCCTTTAAGAAGAGAAAGAACATCATAATGACTCTGCTCTACAAATTTAGATGGGATGACAAGCAAGCTGTGGCTCAACCCAACTCAAGCGCTCCATTACAACGTTACCCATCACATGGGCCTCACAAATAGCAGTATGGGCTGGGCCCCCATCGCAGAACTATTTTAAAGAAGTGTGTTTGCTATGGCTTAAAGACGGAGCACTAGGGACAAACAGCCGACGGGATCAGTATGTAGACTATCCAAAGTTCAACCTGCAAAATCACGCACTGCTCTTTGACTAAACAACTTGTGTAGCTTTAATAAGGATCCATCTATATAATTTACACAGTACTATGCAGTGTTTTTATATTTAATTTGATTCTATTTCTGTATTCTATTTCTCACCTGAATAATACTGTTATATGTACCATTGTATGCATCTGTGCTTTTTCTTGTAATTTGTTTATTTGTTCTTATTTTATTGCTGACTGTTTACTTGTCTTATATAATGTTTGAAGTTTCTATTAAGCTAGTAGTTATTGCTGTGGTATTGAAATTTAGATTCAAGAAATTCACTATTATGTACAATTTTGGTGTTGTTACAACCTTATTCATTAGAATTCAGGGTCACACAGGTCAAAAACAAATATAACTTTTTGTGATTATTTTGGAAGAGCAAATAAAAATCTGAAACACTGGCCTGTCCAGACCAAAAAAATCCCAAGAAAAAAATCCTAAGCATTGAGCCGAGTGTAAAAGTAATGAATCTTTTCAGTATCAATTTTACACCAAGGAAAGCAATGAGAAGCCTAACTTGCAGCCTAAACTGACCCTGGTTTCAGAAATTGCAAACTGAAATGCCAGTGTGTGAAATCCACTAAATTGTCATGGAAAAGCTGTCAGATATCTCATTAATTACCACTGTGATGATTTGTTGAAATAGTAGCCCATAAGACCGGAAAAACCAAGTCAGCAGCAGTCAGATTCTGACCATCCTGTCTGTATCGTTTCTGTCCCAACCTTTAAACAGCCCATTCAATAATATTCCCTAAAACTGAGGGTCCAAGTAATCATTAAAAGTATCATGAGTGAGGTTTTATTGCTTCTGACAACATAACCATCTTCTGACAAGAAACAGCCTTTGAGTAAACATCTGATAAATGGACTTAAAGGGGTCATATGATGCTGCTAAAAAGAACATTATTTTGTGTATTTGGTGTAATGAAATGTGTTTATGCGGTTTAAAGTTAAAAAAACACATTATTTTCCACATACTGTACATTATTGTTTCTCCTGTATGCCCCGCCTTCTGAAACGCGTCGATTTTTACAAAGCTCATCGGTCTAAAAAAGCGAGGTGTGCTGTGATTGGCCAGCTATCCAATGCGTTGTGATTGGCCGAATACCTCAAGCATGAGACGGAAATGTTACGCCCCTCACCATACTGTGATGCCCTGTCCGGCCGGAGCGACGAGACAAAAACATTAAAACCCATCCAGTGGGGACATAATTACGGATTATAATGACGCATCGCGCCGCGTAAACATAAAACCATGTCTGCATTTCTGATCGGAGAAAT